ACTATAGCTAAAGCCCTTAAACACTAAGGACTTTCACCATCAGACATCCACCTCTTCAACAGAGAGAAATGTCTCGACCACGTAGACAGGCCAAGGTACGGGCCCGATCTACACCTAAACGACATAAACGTCGTTCAGCCAACGAGGTCAAATGACAATGCCCGACAGGGACACCTCAATCGAGCTCCACTGTCGAAGTACCCACATGGCAGAACACCCAGATCGTGATGGGCAGTTCACGCCACGGGCATATGACCTTGATCTGGGTCATACGCTCGACATGCGGGCTTCACTCTGCACAACCGACGCATTTCGAAGTACGTCGGACCATCAAAGGGGTCGAAAGGATATCTCCGCTCGAGGACATAACTTAGACATTTCATTACAAAGTAACAGTCGAATACAAAGCTTAGATACAAGCAAGTTAAAGTTAAACAAACATCCATAAAAAAAGTTTATACACAAGACAAGTTAACAGTGAACCGACCAAAAAGGCCGGCGATGTTCGGGGCTACAAGCCATGGCACAACGGCCAAAAGAAATAAGCACGGGCACGCAGGCCCCAAAAATGAGCCCGTGCACGCAGGCCCCAAAACAGATACCAATACGCGGGCACGCAGGCCCGAACAAAAACTTCACGCTAAACGTCCCCAGGACTGCCGGCATCTACCACAGGAGACTCAGGAGGAGGTACGACCTGTCCGTCAATAATCTGAGACATGAACCCGACTCCCTCGGTATTCATGCCCGGATTCAGAATGGCGAGCTGGCTGACCGCGGCCTTGAACCCATCGGCTAGGGCACCGATACAGTCTGTCTCAAGAAGGTGGATACGCGCGACCAAATCTGAACGGGTCCATAAAGAGGTTGTCTCCTCCGACTCATCGTCAACAGGAAGCATAACAGCTTTCAGCTCCTCGACTTCCTTGGACAAACGTTCGTTGTCACTCTCCAAGCGCTCCTTGTTCAGTTGGAGGCAATCCCTCTCCTCAGCAACCTTCCCAGAGTTCTCCTTCTCCCCCGGCAGCAGGTCGGCTTGCTCGTGAAACATTTCCTCGGACCGCTCGAGGGCCGCCTTTAACTTACGAGAATTGGCAGCAAGAGCGGCTTTCTCTGACTCTAACTCCCTAACACGGTCCGAGGAGTCCGACCCTTCCTCGGCAAGGACCACGACCATCTCGGCCATCTTCACCATCCCGACCATGCTAGTGGCGAGGTGTTTCCTTCGGCTTTCTTTGTCAAGTCGTCTAATAGTCTCAGCCTCGTCATTGCTCACCGTCAGAGGAAACCCCTCGAAGAAATCTTTCTCTTTAAAACAGGGGGGGTAAGCCGAAGGCCCTCGCAGCTACGGACTCGTCGCCAACCTCCGACCTGTTTTCAGCCCGACTTCTCTTCCTGGTAATCAGCTCGGTGGGTTGCTCAGCATCAGGAGAGCCCGAGGACCCACTAGAGGCATCTCCGCCCGAACTGTCCGACGGGCCCATCCTCGTGGCTTGTGGTGCTCGCACCAGCCTTTTGTTTATTTTCTTATCCTGGGTTAGTTTCAATAACCTCTCCCGTCGTTCAGCCATATCGCCTGCAAAAAGGAGAAAAACCCGGGTTAGCTGTAAGCGAGCAAAAACAACGAAAATGGAATAAAATAATAAAAGCAGAAGCAAGAAATCTAGCATATCTACGGCCTGCCCGTAAGATTGGCACTCGACGAGCGCCTCCATGTTGATGGGACGAGCCTCAAATGTCCTCGTCAAGAATATCATCCCCCTCCCTCGTGACCCACCGGGCAGGGAAGAAGCTGTCGACGTACTTGCAAAGGACAACATAGGCCTCCTCGTCCTCGGCGCTCATGCTTCCCGCAGGCGTATGACAGTACCTGGTGCCATGGTCGTAATGGCCTGAGCACCAATGTATCGGGAACTTGGAAATATGCCCGACTGTCGGATGACCCTCAGCATCCACAAGGGGCTCCCCATTCGCGTCGACCACCGTGGTTTCTGATTCGAACAAGGAGTCCAAGGCGGTTTGGGTGACCGGCTGCAGAACATACCATTTATCCTTGAAGTCCCTTACCGAATCCATATACATCCTGAACAGCCTCTTCGAGACTGACGCTGCAGGTGAAAGACCCTGAAGAAAAGGGGAATCGTCGCCCCGATCCTCAAGAAACGACACGTCAGCTCGAACGCCTGAAGGAAGGCGATCGAATTGGGGTGAAGCTGCGAAGGGGCCAAGTTTAGATGGTTGAACACCCCAACTTGAAAATCGCTGAAGGGGAGCTTAAGACCGAGATCCCTGAACACGATCTCATACATTGGGAACCGGTACTCGGTAAACTCCGAGCAGATACGTGCATCAATCGACAATCTCATAACTATGAAATTCTTTTGAAACCCTGGCTGACTGCCGCCATGCTTGACAATAGTATAGGCACGCCGACTATGCCGACAGTACGCCGAGGCAATCCCCCGGGGCTTGGTGCCCACCTAGTCCAACATGGGGTCATCAATGGTGTCGACTAGAGTAACATTCTCCTTGGTATTTGTATCCTCGACTTCATTTTTCCTCGAAGATTCCGGTTCGTCGGCCATTTACCTGCAAAGCACAGGAAACCAGTGAAATTCGAGAGCAAATCCGCGTGTTCGCCACAGAGACAAGAAGTAGTATACAACAAGCCAAACACGGACACCCCAGCTCCGACCAGGCATCAGGGACAACAAGGGAATAGCATGAATGCCCGGGGCGAAAAACATGAATGACTCGAGCAAGGTCCTGACTTCGCCTGCCCGACACTAGAATACTGCGAGGAGGCTACCCTACATACTTCCTAAAGGATCAGCATCCCGGTCAGTTCATGGGTGCACCGACCAAACCCATGAATGTCACTGGTTGTATCATGAGTCATATGCCTAAAACTATGAATGTCACGGGCAGTATCATGAGTCATATGCCTAAAACTATGAAGGTCACGGGCAGCATCACGAGTTATATACCTAAACTATGAGTTTACCGGACACAATCATGAATCTACCGGGCACTACTCCCAGATATGGGTTTTTGACATAAAAAATAACGTCAAAACTACCTACAACGAAGAAAAGCAGGAGGAATGAACACTTACTTGGAAGAAAAGAGGTACGTACGACGGCGGTGGAAGTAATCAGCGGCGGATGGTGCAGTGATCTCACGGCGTTGCAGGAAACTACGACGGCGGAATCAGAGGAAGAGGGAGAAGCGCGAAGAAGAAAAACAAATTATGGACCCAAGGGTCCTATTTATAGGGATGACGTGGAATACGAAACGTCGCACCGGGGAGCCGCGAACTTCCCCGTCCTCGACATCTATTCCCCTATGCAATGATGACCCTATTGTTGCTAGGGTGGCGTTACGATTCCCAAGGACTGCCTCGTGTATCCAACAAACACAGCCCGCAAGGAATTCCTCGAGCACGCGTCGACAAGGATTGCGCTGCGTATCCGACGAACGCAGCCCGCGAGAAACTCCTCGAGCACACTTCGAAAAACAAAAAGCCCTGGTCTGGCCATCAAATTTCCCCGGGAAAAAGCGAGCTAGGATCAAGTCATAACTCCTGCACCAGGAGCAACGACTTGGGGGGCTCCTGTTCTGGATTGGGCCTGCCTTGGCCCAAAAGGAAGATAAAGGCCCAAATCCAGACAACTCCTCGAGGAATGTTCACAAACGGACCATCACCGAACGTGCCCGACCACAGACCGCAGCTGCTATGCCCGCCATTGCCCGCGACAAGCAGTATCCCCGACCAAGGGAACTCTAGCTCGAGTCCAGCTCGAGCACCTCCCCGTAGGGCAGACTCTGTCCATCCTAACCGTTGTAGAATCCTCCCAGCTCTAGAAAGACCGCATCTTCGTCCCTCCTTGTTCTTCGCACAACATCACCAGGAAGGGGACCACGTGCGGGGCCCCACTACACACGTAGAACCTTACAGTTCCTTTATTGGGTCAGTTCTAGCCGGCCTAATGAGGGGACTTGGCCCAACGCTGGGGGCTATAAATACCCTATGTTCCAAGAGGGTCAGGTATTCATCTATTACGCACCTATACACTTTTTGCCTGCTCATTCCGCCTCTCATTTTAGCATCGGAGTGTCTTGCAGGTATCCCCCCCATCTCACTCAAATTCAGCTCGAGCCAGCCGTGAGGTCCAAGTTTGATCCGGTAAGATCAGATTTGAAATAATTAAAAAAAAAATATTTAACATATAAAAATTAATATAATAATAATATATAAAAGATTTAATAAATTTAAATTATTAAATTTTAAAATATTTTAAATAAGAATTTTATTAATAATTTAGAAAAATATTTTTATATCATTTTACATTTATCAATTAATAAATCGTTAATTTTATCAAACACTTTAATTAACTTATCAATTATTAATTATTAGTTATTTCCTATAAATCATTAACTATCAACTATAAACTATCAATCATCAAGTACATTATCGGTAGATTGTTATTTTTATCAAAAGAAATTTTAATAGAATTTAATGGACGAGTTGGTAAAGTGTTGGAAGGAAGTATGAATAACGTCTTTTTATCTTTTAAATTCTCAGTCTTACAAAAACCAACGTAGATCCTTAAATAAAATAAAATAAAAAACTAACTAAGTCGTTCAAGTTATTGAAAAACATTAAAAATTTAAAAATAATGTCTACCACATTAAATATTCTAATTGTTTGGTTTAATGAAAGACCAAAATGATAAAGTGGCAAAAATATAATACATATTAACCCTTAATAAATAACTTGTATTCCATTCTGTTAAAGAATAAAAATATTTTATTCTTGTAGCGTAATTAAAGTGACAGAGTAATACTTGTTTATCTCACAATTATAAATAAAAAAATATTTTAGGTTCCCTTGTCAAGGCCAACCATTACTCCATTGCTGTTTCACTTCATCGACAAATGGAATTCAACGGAGTTGCTTCAAAAGTGGTGAGGAATTAAGAAAAAAATGTGGTGAGGAATTAGGCACACATGGGGTGTGAATAAGAATATTGGAGTGTGCTAAGTATTTGGGCCGGCCCATAAATATGATTACACTTGTTATGATCTATAAATAACCAAATGCAAAGACAGAAATTAGGGTTTAGAAACTTTTTGTTGCAGCTATAAAGGGTTTCCTCCCAAACATGCTTCATCGCCATTTCCGTAATCTGAATCTCACCAACAAAATCCAAGTACGTTTCTTTCTTTCGAATTATTCATCCATCTCTACGTTTTCCTTTGAAATCTATATATTTTGTTTAAATTCATATTATCTTTTGTCTTAATATGTTTGGATTTCTTTCTGTTTGCGTGGTTGATGAATAAGGAACTAATTATAGTGTTTAATTTCATTATTTCATGTTGCAAATCGTTAATTTGTTTCTGTTATTAATTGATGTGATTTTAGATTTGTCATACCTTGCAGGAAATAGATTGGGGATATTTATAGAAAAAGAATGAGAACTGAAGCCTTCCAAACTGCTACCATCTATCGCCATCTCCTCAAGGCAGTCAAGAAACATATTGGGAAAAAGAGAATAAGAGACATTTTCTAGAATATGTAACCTCCGAGTTCCACAAGAACCGAAATCTGTCTGATGGTGTGGCTGTCCAACATAAAATAAAGCTTGCTCGTGATTACACTTACCTTCTTAACAACGTGCACTATCACAAGGTATTAAGCAACTCTGGTTTTATTGTAATTTTCCTTCAAACAGCACTTCTATTGTGTAGGCCTGTACTGTACATTATTCCTTAGTCGTCAAATTATAAACCCATTCAGTTTAAAACTTACTGAGATATCAATATATTTAGTTGTTGTATGTATATTGCAAAATAAAAGTAAGATGTAGAACAGGATGTTATGTGGTTTTTTTTATGCTAGTGATGAGCAATTCCATATAGCCAAATTGGATCCATGCCAGAAGGAATCCTCTGCAGATTTGGCTTATAATGGATATCAATCATATCATTTTTGTTTTGATTCATTTTATGTCTGTAGTGTAAATCATTACTAGAAAAAAAACACATTTTATCTGGCTGGTTTTCTGACCATGATTCATTGTCAACAATCTTGTAGGAGTTGCTTTTCTCATATAACATCGCAGTGGATAGATCAGATGAGGTTAAAAGAACACTTGGAAAATCTGCTGCTAGTGTCGGTCTTCAGCTTCCTGAGGTTTATCGATCATAAGGGTTTGGTAGCTATTTATCAAGATAGAGACCATGAAATAAGATGAGTAAGCGTCGAGGATGAAAAAAATTGTATTATGTATGCATTAGTTCATGTTTTTTCCAATACCAAGAACTATTGTCATTGTCAAAGCTATTTACCAAGAACTTTGTTTCAGGTTAATATATTTTCATGTCTCTTCACAATGTGTTCACATAAGGGCACAATGTGTTTATTCGAGAGTAATTTGAGATTATTTTACAAATGTTTGCAATGGAAGTTCAGTTCTTAGCTCTGCTTACTGTCTTTTTCACGAACAGTGTTGCAATATTAGGGTGATAGAGATATGAAAGAAAAAAATGTTACTTTTGTTGTTGTAGTAACTCACTAAACAATATGGCCCTTAAAATAGTTTTGTTGGCTGGAGTAGTTGGTGTTGTATCAGCAATTTCCGGAATCAGTCATATCTGTTCATGGACTGCTAAGAGTCTGCCATCTGCAGCTTCAGTTGCTACCATGGCTTGGACTCTTACACTTCTTGCCATGGGGTAATCTACTTTCTATGATCTCTTTTCTTCACTTCATGTACTATGATTATACTGATCTAATAAGAGTTTCATTTTCTGCAGCTTCGCCTGGAAAGAGATTGAGCTTCAAATTAGAAACGCACGTCTGGTAAGCCAAAAAAACACAATCATTTGACAACTTTCTTTGTCGACTTTATTTGTTTTACTCTTTCAAAGAATTCTGATGTGTGTAATTTTGCAGAGAACCATGGAGGCTTTCTTAATTATCCTCTCAATTACACAACTTCTCTACATAATTGCCATTGATGGTGCTGCTGCATATAATATATATACTTGAAAGTTGAGAGTTTTTTCTTCTTTTTTGTATTTTGGTTGGCATGATGGAATGCATGTTTACTTTTTGTATTTTTTTATTTCCTTTTTTTCAACAGTCTTTGATTTTTCTTTAATTTTTTCTGATGTAATTTGAATAATTGGATTTGTATAACTTACAAAAACAATAAAGAATATCTAATTTTCTTCATATTTTTTATCAACACAAACAACTATTTTATGTCATACAACTGAAGCACAATCTCCAATATAGACAGACACTCTAACACTGGTTATGTCAAAAACATAGGCCCCCAACGCCTTTATATATACGATAGTATTTAACATTCATTATCTATCTATCATTTGTTTAATTTTTCCAACACTTATAAGACTTTTTAGATATGTGTTGTACAAATACAATACAAGTGTCTGACACGGACATGTGACATGCCTACTCTTAGAGAAATGTGTGCTTACTATTTCAATTCAAAGGGCATATTGATAATTTTATAAGATACATATATAAATAAATTTTATCACGGAAACTTTTAAGCTATACATACAGCTCATATCACAAGCACAATGCTGTTTTATCTCATGGATGAGGAGAAAATGATGAATCAAACTCAGACCAAATTTCTATATCACAGAACTAACCATGTAGTTTGACATGCTCAAGAATTGAACGGTAAATTGTTGCCAATGCAATAAATCCAATAAACTTCCCTATAGTAATGTAAAAAACCTTATATGATCATTTGGAAACTCTAAACCTGGACACTTTACATCGAAATGTTTTAACAAAGTCCTAATAATTTTTCTGTTTTAGCTTTTGGAAGGTCTCTAACAAGATTTTAGGATTTCGGTAGAAGCCGTGAAAAACTTGCATTGGTGAAAAGTTTCTCATGAAGCACCATTTTTCCTTTTGACATGCAAGTTGAGATCCTAAGCTTATATTTCTGCAAGAAAAGCAGAAAGCAGAAAGCAGATATTGTCAACCATAAATCGATTTACAGCGTCAAAATGTATACTATACCGGGATAGCCCACACCAAAAAAATCCTTAAAATATGCATTAGATGAATTAATACATAGACTAAGAAGTAATTAACAAACCTGAACTTATCTATTTGAACCTGACAAAACTTCAAACATTCCACAGCAACTCCACCATGAAGTCTTCTGCACCAAATTTGGAGTCGATCTTACGGAATTCTGCATATCATATCAGCAAAGAAAATATAGTCATAATGAATTTCAAACAAAAAACGAGTCAATTCATAATAATGTAATAAAACATTCATACAGCTGAAAATGCAAAACCTGATTTTTGGAGCATTCTGGAGTCTTGGAATTCTTAGTATGTACTGCGCGATGAGTTAATGAACTAGGAGACGATGAAGTTAACACTTCACTATTATATTCCTTTGGCTTAGGTTCCTCTAAACTTGACGCGGTAGCGTTCTCATTTGTTAAGGGATATACACTATCCTGATTTATCTTCCCAGCAAGATCGGTCACTTCTAGAAGAGGGGCTGCTCCAGACATGGAAGCCGCAGTCGTGTTGGAAGGTGAAGATTCATTTGGTTTAACCAACTCATGACATGCAGTTTTCTCTTCAAGCAAATTATCATTCTCATCCTTTGAGTTCTTCTCAGCTAAGGATTCACCATTTGAAATACCACTGTTGTTCCCACTATCGTAACAAGATTCCTTCTCCATTGCAGTTTCAATATGCTCAAACCTTCCGTTTTCTTTCTCATAACCATCCTTAGATCTCAAATCTTTCTTTATCATAACAACGCTATTCTTCTTTCCACAAACTTCTTCCACAGACACAACATCAGAAGCAATTGATCGAGCAGCTGCTGGGTCTCTCTCATGAACCAATTCACTTCCATCATCGAAATGATCACGAATGCCACCATTTCCTTGATACACAGACAAGTTATCGCCTCTGCCATCACCCGCTTTCTCATTTCCAGGCTTCAAATCATCATTTCCTAACATTTTTTTTAGAATCAGTCAAGCTATTATCAACTAAAATCAACCAAATCAACATATACCCTAACAATAAAAGTAATACAATACAAGAACTATTAACAGACATACATATATATATCCAAATTAACCAAAAAAACCCAAAACAAAATTGATCAAGAATAATTAACAGTCAAATACCCATGTACAAAAATTAACCAAAAATACCTAAAAAATATAATTAAAATGAAAAATACAATATATAATTGAAAAGGACACATGCATGAACTATTGACTATTAGACTTGCATAAACATTGCCTCCAAAATTGATTCTACTTGAAACTAAATTATAACTTAAATTTAAACGTGATTTTTACATCAAATTTATTGTTCAATGTACTTCTACATAAATTTATTCAAACATAAATCATTTTATCTTCAACTGACTTTTACCTAGAATCAATTTATTCAAAATCAATTATTTTCACCGCAAAATCAAACACACCCTTAAAAAATGTAAATTGACAACAAATTTGGCAAAAAACAATTGTAACTACTAACACTCCGACATGTCAGAATCAAGAATCAACTTTATACATCTGTAATCACTTTTGCCTCCATCTAAACATACACTAACCAAAATTCTGAAAGAAAAAAAAAGAAAGAATATATTAGATAATGTAGCTAGCTACCTTGAGGAGGGTTATTGGTTGATAAGAGGTTAATTTCCTTCTTCCTCCTAGCAGCTTTTCTCTTCTTAGGACCTGAAGGCATGATTGGAATGCTATGCTACGCTTTTGCAAGAACCTGAAAAAGTTACAAACTTTGAACTCAAATTGACAGAAAAAATTTATTGTCTTTTGAATATATAATGAATGAATGCAGTGAAGAAGCTACTAGGCGCGTGAAAAAGTTGAAATTGTGTCACTTTCACCTTTCAAAGTTTCAATCTTCGGACCTAACCATACAAGAAAAAAACAAAATTCAAATTTGAGAATTTTTTGGAAATATAGAAAAATATAAATAAATATGGGAATGGGTTAAATTTGTTAAGATATTTTCACCTTAAAGTAAAAAACTTGATTTTTTCTGATTTACTTTTTTTTTATTCAATTGATATATCTGATTTTTTTTTTAAATAACCGTTAAAATTTTTTTTCTTTCAAATAACTATTTTTTCAAAATAATTACCAAATAATTACTTTTCAAATAATAAAAAAAAATCTGTCTCAAACCACTATGTGGTGCATGCATATGAATCAGAGAAGAGGCGTCACGCTGCATGGCTTGTCCTCCTATGTAGTGCCATGTTGTGTGGCGCGTGTATGTATTTTTAAGGAGGAGACGCTATATTAGATAGCTTGACAGTTGTATTTGTTTTTCTATAAATACAACTACTCATCTTCACCATTTTTCACACAATTTCTCTTAGAAAATGTCTTACATTCCCTTGCCAATGTTTTCCACTCCGTTGACAAGATTTTCACTGATCAAAAGAGATGTTCGTGTTATTTTTTCGGCGACAGAGCCTCTGATGAAGATCAAACTCTGGAACACGCAGAGACATTTTTAGAGGCATTTGATTCGCTGGTTGGAAGGAGGCATTCCTGACGGTGAACATATTAGAAAAATAGAAAGGCAAATTACAGTGAGGAATGAAAAAAAGAGTAAGTCGTTCATGGAAAAAGTGAGATTTGACGCTGATGTCATGATAATGATGCTTGGACCAAACGATATTATGTTGATGGTTTTTATCTCTTAGATATTATGATGTGTTTAGTTATTTTGTCTGCTTATCATGTTGTTGTGTTTTGCGTAGTTGTCCTGAGTTGGTCGTGTTGTAATTTTTTGGACCATTATCTGAAGGTTGTTGTAATCGAATGTTAACTTGAAAAACCCGAATTTAAATTGAAATTTCTTGCTTACAACAAATTAATTACTCTAGAAAGTTTGCTATAAAAAATTAGGTTGCAGAGTTAGACCCAATATTAAGACAATTTTTTCGATTGTATCTGGGAAGACGATATGTACTGCATAATCTTACCATTTTGTTGGCCGTATCAATTTGAGTCTAATATGAGTGCTATTGGGGCACCCCTTTTTCTTCCTTCACATTTGTTCATTGTACCAAGCAATGTCCTCTTGATAAGCAGGCCAATAATCCTCCTTTGCCAACACGGAGAACGTATTGATGTGCACACTTAAAACACTCTTGACTGTGTAAACGGAGGATATATGTCCTATTGGGTCCAAGCGAACATGCGAACATGCCTCTATGACATGGGATCTAGGCATGCGAAATGCTTGAAACTTTCTGCAATCGCGCCAACTTCTATCTAGTTCAACCCGATAATATCCTCTTGACCTTCCCTCATTATGATCTATTGTCTCTTGTACACTAAACCAACCTTTAATACGGTCAAACACTGTGACACTATGGGTGTTAGCTTTGGAAGCCTCCTCATTAAATGATTTCATTGTGCATTTACTGAACAAATGTCCTGATTGTAACACTTTCCTCTATTTTGAACTTCTTGTGTCGAACAATGACTCCAACCTAAAGAACGTGTACATGTTATTCGATCTACCGATCGATGGTAAGGCTGTCAACGGTCGAGTCAACCAAGACAACACCATATGCGAGGAACTTTTGGGAGCCTATTTATTTGAACAAGGGTCTAGAGGCCAATGTATTATTCTGTGTCTCATTGGAGAATATCATAGTAGTATCGTAATAACCGAAAACTCTACCGAGCAAGAAAAAATTGTGAAAGCTCAGTGTTACATAATGATATTATTTGGTCACTTTTTATTTCCCGAAACAACGAGTAATATCATGTATTTACCTTTGTTAAGACATTTTGATAAAATAAACACATATAGTTGGGGCTCTGCTGTTTTGGCCCATCTGTATATTTCTTTGTGTAAAGCTACAGTTCGGCAATGCAACAGGGTATCACATACCCCATACAAGTTTGGGAGAATGGCGTCTACTCAGAGTTGATGACCAATGAGGATTTAATGATTTGAGAGACTTTGCTA